AGATATTTGAACGTGTTAAAAATTGATATTTCATTCTGATTTGACATTCGCTCGATTTTGCATTTATTTCTCTTTAATTACGTGCGATCGTTAATTACCTTTTAATAAGTGACTTTTCATTGAGTTTTTTGAACGGGCATCGCCAATGAGGGTACAAAGTTAATTGTTTAAGACCAACTTTGAAATTTTGGTATATTCCATTACCAAAGACAACTTAATTTTGGATTGGAACACTTGTATTTTCTATTTCCTATTTTCGTTCTGTAATTTTAATCAATTATTTTGCGATAATTTCAACTTGGTTGTTTCAAAAACTATCCATATAGAAGATGCATTTTAAAGTGATTGTGATTCCAATTATTTTTGATTTTTTTAAGAATAACTTCTGCTCATTATTATTGACAAAAAAGAAAAAAAATTAAACGAAAACTAATTAGTCCCAAATTCTAATCATGTTCTCCTAAATTTCACCAATTTACTACCTAAATATTTACCAAGAAAAAAGTTTGAAAAGTTAATTAAAGAACGATATTGCTTCCAAGTCCATGGTGCCAAGCTGTGCGAGGGTACGTTTCTGCGCATGCGCCGATGTAAACACTACAGACCACTTTTTAATTTAATTAATATCTAATGAACAATCAGGTGTAGAAGGATGATACCAATTTATTTATTATCTACAAACGATTTGCTTTCCATTGGTTAATATTATTTCAGGCTACAAATAAAAATTAGTGGAGTCGGGTGCTAACTTCCGATCATTATTTTGTATAATTAATTAAAAAATAATGAAGGGTCTACAAAATTTTTTAATGGTATTACAATGATGTACAAAGGTCCTACTATTGATCTAAATGAAAAAACTAATGAATTTTCAATTATGTGGTGCCAACTACCAGTCACCAATTGTGAGGACCATTTGTATGACATTGTAATAGCAGAGATTATAGGGGAGATTGCCAGCGCCTGTAGAAAACCTTCAACAGGGTCAGAGCCCGTACCTGTAAGTAAAGCAGATCGAGAGCCCGTACCTGTAAGTAAAACAGGTCGCGAGCCCGTAAGTGTCGATAATTTTCAGAGCCCGTACGTGTCGATAATGTTCAGAGCCCGTGAGTATGGATAAGACAGAGCGCGAGCCCGTGAGTGTCGATAATTCGAGGCGGTCGTGAGTGTCACTAAGGTAGGGCACTTATCGAAATAACGATGACGTCCTAAAACGAACGAAAACATCCAATGTACCGGAGAGTGGGGGCGGAATGAAAAAGCAAGTTAACGTTCATAAATAGGCCATTTGTTTAAAAAATTGCGGAAAAATTGTCTCGAAAATGTATACTCAAACGATTGAGAATCAGCTGAAACGCCGAGATTTACTGGTCCCTCGGAACCTTTTTTTTTTAACGGTTCCATTATTGTTAACAAATTCAAAAATGATTGAACAAATTGGGGGGAAAATGTTTTGCAGATATTTACTCAAACAATTAAGAATCAGCTGAAGGGCCGAGATTAACAGGTCCCTCGGAATCTTTTTTTTATTACCGGATCCGTTGTTGTTAACAAATTCAGAAATTATGGAACAAATTGGGGGAAAAATGTCTTGCAGATATATACTCAAACGATTGAGAATCAGTGGAAACGCCGAGATTAATTGGCCCTTCGGATAATTTTTTTTTTTCAACTTTTCCATTTTTATTAACATATTAAAAAATCTCTGCTGAAAATTAAATAAAAATCGTTCCTCAAAAATATATTGCAACGATCCAGACTCGTTTGAAATTTTATTCGAAAATCGTTTGGAATTGACTATTATTCATATTTTGGAAAATTTCTGTTATCTATTTAAAACGTTCTTCAAAAAATTATTGTATCTATAATTCTAAGGAACGTGTCCGCGCTCGTTTTTCTCGGAATCAGTCGGATTTTGTTTGGATGGACGTTGGGAAGTCGAGAAGCGACTAATCGACACAAAAAAAAAATGTAAACAATGCATCGTCGCGCGACAAAACGATCAGTTGAGTTCTGTCCATCAGCCGAGCTGTCCAACTTATTCGTCTCCAACCGCAGATTTTTGTGTTCTTATAAAAAAAAAAATTCCGTGATTTTTGTGAATAAATGGCCACTCACGTGGCCAAACGTGATAAGTGCGCGTACGTTGATTGTGAAGTGACATCGAGGGATGCCGGAAAGCTCTTTCGTTTCCCTGCCGACGATCAGCGGCGTCTTGTCTGGATAATTAATTCAGGTATATTTATTAATGTTTTTTTATTACGCGTTTTCTAATTCGCTTTCTTCATTTTCGTCTTTCTTTCTGCACGATAAATACGGAATTAACCACGACATTAACCGCGAAATCCACCGCGAAATCCACCACGAAATCCACCATCAAACCGTACACGAAATCGACCCCGAAACCCACCACGAAATCCACCATGAAGCCCAACGTGATTATTTCATCAAAATTCCAAAAAAATTTGCCAAACGTTTAAAAATTAATTTCTATTCTTTTCATTCATTTTTTTAATCCTCCACGGAATTAACCACCAAACCCACCACGAAATGCACCGCGAAACCATACACGAAATTCAACATGAAACCCACCGTGATAATTTCATCAAAATTCCAGAAAAGTTTGCCAAACGTTTAAAAATTAATGTCTATTTTTTTCAGTCATTTTTTCAATCCTCCACCGAATTAACCACCAAACCCACCACTAAATCCACCGCGAAACCCTACACGAAATCCACCACGAAATCAAACACGAAATCAAACACGAAATCCACCACCAATTCCATGGTGATAATTTCGTCCAAATCACAGAAAAGTATCCCAAACGTAAAAAAATTAATTTCGAATTATTTTATTCATTTTTTTTAAATCTTCCATGAAACCCATCGTGATTATTACGTAAAAATTGACGAAAAATGCCCAAACGTTTAGAAATTAATTTCTAA